TGAGCCGAAGGCAGACGCTTAACGACTGAGCCACCCAGGTGCCCCAGAAGCCTTTTTAAAATACAAACCTCCAAAAGAGCTCTTTTCTCAAACTATAGCACTACCTCCTTAAGATTAATCCTAGGGACAAATACAAATCTTAAAAATCTTCTCCACAAATATTAGTAACTATAGGGTCTTCATGTGCATCTGTCTCTCTCCTGTATATAGTAAATGTGAGATGTTTTCCTACCTCTGGATGGCATTGCTAAAATTAATTTGTAAAAGAGTTTTATTTACTTGGTTTGAAGGCAAACATTGGTAAGGATTAGACATTCTAAAACTCTCAGAAAGAAACCAACCCAAATGTTTTGTCAAGTTCACACAATCTGGATAAATATTTGATATGAAAGCTACTTTAAGTTTGTTGGTTTAATTAAAGTAGACATATCTTAGGGTGGCACAGTGAGTTAAGCGACCAACTCTTGGTTTCAGCTCAGGTCATGATCTCAGAGTTGTGGGATCGAGCCCCACATTGGGCTCCATGCTCGTGTGGAGTCTGCTTGAAACTCTCGCTCCCTCTCCCCCTGCTCCTCCCACTTGTGCGCACGCTTTCTCTCTCTCTGTCTCTCTAAAATAAATAAATCTTTAAAGAATATTAAAGTAGACATGTCTTTAGAGTTATCAGCATTAAAATTAAAACTTTTATTCTGCCTTAGTTCACTTAAAGTCAAATAAGGTAATATCTCTGTTACAAATTAAAAAAAAATAGCTTGCAGGGGGCACCTGGGTGGCTCAGTCGGTTGGGCATCCGACTCTTGATCTTGGCTCATGTCATGATCTTGGTGTCGTGAGATTGAGCCCCACATCAGGCTCTCCACTCAGCGTAGAGTCTGCTCAAGATTCTCTCTCTTGCTCTCCTTCTGCCCCTCCCCTACTATCTCTCTCTCAAATAAATAAATTAAAAAAAAATAGCTTGGAAGAATGACCGACTTTGATGTCTCATGAAGGTTTTATGGGTAATATAAGCGTAATTATTAAGAACAAGTAAATAGATATAAATAAAATAAAAAATTTAGGTAATCTTTTAAATAGTCTCCCAAATCTTTTTTGGTAACCTAAAACCGTAAAGTTTTTCTTAGTTAGGTTAAGTAATGAATTAAGTTGAATTCATTAAATATCTATATCATTTGTAAATAAGATGAAATACTAAAACATCAATTGCTAAACATAGGTATCTTGTGGTGCCTAGCTGGCTTAGTGTAACATGCAACTTTTGATCTCAGGGTTGTAAGTTCGAGCCCTACATTGGGTGTGGAGTTTACTTACAAATAAAAAATCTTGGAAAAGAAAAAAAAATGAAGTATCTACTTGCAGCTTCTTAATACAGAAAAACTAAAATACATTTTGGATATGTTAGTGCTACATTGGAAAATTAAAGACATATGCTTCTAAAAATTATAAAATGTATTTATAAATTTGCCAATCTAAAGAATGCTGGTATAACAGACAGTTCCCATTTGCTTAACACTACTAGAAATAATGAAGGAAATATCTGCATATGGAAGGGAAGTAAAATATGTTTTTGATTTTAAAAAAAAGTATGAGGAATGGAGATACATTCTTTTGAGGAAAAAACAGTTGTAGAAAGTTTGTGAAAAAGGAATCTCTGGCAAGGAATTGTGTATGTGGTCAGGACTGACTGAAGATTGGAACGAATAAGTTTTCATATCAAAACTAAGCTGGTGCAAAATTAGAATTTGGTTTTCTCTGTTCTAAGATGACGAAGATTGTGTGTTTGGACTTTTCTCATTGGCGTAAGTCTTTTTGACCTAGAACATACCAAAGAATTTGCTAAACTATTTACGCTTATGTGATATGTTAAATTACATCAGAAGCATTGTCAAATAAAAAGTAATACTAAGCCTTCTTTATGTTGTAAGATTTTGGCACATGTGCATAAAGTCCATTCTGCTTCTGGAAAAAAAAGAGGCCCCTCATTGCCAGACTTTTGCCATCCTGATGTCCTATAACATGGCAACAGTCTGCTGCTGAATCAGAGAAATTAAGGTGGGTAAATACTGGCTGTCAATTAAATGAATAGCTGGGGCTATGGGAAAACTAAGATGGCTGCTTAGTTCTTCCCAGCTGGCAAACCCTATTTTTCAGTTTTTACATTCTTTCACTCACCATAGGGCTTTCAAGATGACCCAAAATTATGAATAGACATCGGTGGGGAGACTTCTATAATATTGTAAAAATAATCTGCCAGCAATTTCTGACTTGTCAGGTCATCCTGGAAAAACTGATTTTGTTCCCAGAGCCTCAGACCTACCCCTCTTGACTGTTTGAAAACCTGCAGCGGGACTTCATTCAACTGCTACTTACTACGGATTACCAATATGTTCTTGTTTTACTTGCATGTTTTGTGGATGGGTTGAAGCCTTTCCCTGCTGCAAGGCTGTGATGCCCTCCCAGTAGCAAGGAAACTATTAGAAAACATGTTTCCCATTTGGGGCATACCTTCCACAATCTCCAGTGATCAAGGCACTCACTTCACTGGGCAAATCATATGAGCCTAATGAAAACCTTGCAAAACTTCTTGGAATTCTATCAGGAGCTTGTATACTGAGCCTGGAGAACTAGGGATTCTGGAAACATTATCAGAGGAAGATGGCCCTCGAGCCCCCTTGGAAGAGGAATCTTACCAAGTGCTCCTGATCATGGATACCAATGCAAAACTAGAAGGGATGGAGCCTTGGCTACACATTTCACAGCTTGTGAAGGCTCCGCCTCCAACCAGGTCCTCTACAGACACTGGAGACCTCCAAATCAAATTGATGAGGAAGAGAAGTAGCTCAGTTGGGGTGGAATGCTTCTGCCTCAGATGATGGATCAAGACTTTAAATTTTAACTAAACTCAAAACCCTTTCTCCTTCTTCTTTTTTATTCTGGCATTAGCCTGGAAAGTTAATGCCGTCATCTGTTTGTCCCCTGGCCACTGCTTAAGTGGGGTAGTCTTTGGAATTTAGAACAACCTTTTAGTTCAGGCTAGGAGAAAATCTTAACTTTTCATAAGCAAAATAAGACATCTCTTTGGGTGACTCCCCTGAAGTTACATTGTTGAGTTAGAAAGGACCTGCCAGGAGGTTTTCATGATTCAGGAATTCACTCCTCCTGGAAGGTCCCTACTTCCCTGGTTAGGGATAAATGTAAATGAGCCTATGATCGGGAACTTCTCAATTCTTGAAATTACTGCAGAATCTGCTGCTAAAGCAACAGAGGCCCAACAACCATCCTTAGACTCTTTAGCCAAAGCTGTTCGTGATAGTAGGACAGCCCTCGATTATCTTGTAGGTGAGCAAGGGGGTACCTCTGCTGTGGTCAACACCACCTGCTGTATCTGGACTAACCCTTCTGGGGATTTTGAAACTTAATTACATAAGAACACTGAGTAAGCTGCTTGGCTTAAAAGAGTAACTTCTTCAGTGGGGTCTTTCTTTGATTTATTTGATTTTAATTGTTTTGGGTCTTGGGAACCATGGCTCTGAATACACTCCAAATACTGGGAATTATCCTGCTTATAGTTATCATCATAATATCCCTGGTACATTGTATTCTCTCAAAAGCTTTAAATGCGTGTTCACTGCCAAGCATCAAGCAAATGATCTCCCTAAGACGGGAACGTCAGAAAAGGAATGAAGAGGACAACGGACTTAAAAATTGTGAATCTGAAGTTGGAACCTGTGAATATCACAGAAATTAAGCAAAAAACCATCATGACCTGTGAATACCGCACAGAGAATCAGTAACAGCTGTGAGAACTCTGGAGCGGTGGTAGAGAATGATGGTAGAGAATGCTTTAAATTTTGATCGCATCTCTCAGTTAAACTGAGAGTCTGATCAAAAGGGAGGAAATTGTTAAAAAGAAAACCACAGACCTAAAATGATGGCTCCAAGCCAGTAAACCAAGACTTAATAGCTAACCTACCTGTAGTTTCAACTCCCCAGAAATGTAACCCTTAGCCAGTCAACGTGGGAATTTCTGGGTCAGCATCAGGAAATTTAATGCTAGACCCTTCTGTCCCCCTTAGGAGGGCGACCTTGCCTAAAACAATGGATTCTTTGCTAATAGTGTCCTTTTTTCTCTGCTCTTTTTCTTCTTGTAAAGACTTGCTTTTTCTTTAGCTCTTTGGAGCTCATCTCTGCTAGGATGGATGCTGCCCGATTCATGCATCAATTAATAAAGCCAATTAGATCATTAAAATTTACCCTGTTGAACATTGTTACTTAACAATTTACATTTAATTATTTTAACAAAATGTCATAGTTTTTCTTTTAACAAAAATGTATGGTTGGGAATGTGTAGTTTTTTTTTTTTAATTTTTTTTTTAAGATTTTATTTATTTATTTGAGAGAGAGAGAGAATGAGAGAGACAGAGAGCACATGAGAGGGGGGGAGGGTCAGAGGGAGAAGCAGACTCCCCGCCGAGCAGGGAGCCCGATGCGGGACTCGATCCCGGGACTCCAGGATCATGACCTGAGCCGAAGGCAGTCGCTTAACCAACTGAGCCACCCAGGCACCCAGGGAATGTGTAGTTTTGACCTCTATTTACTTATATTAAGCACACACCTATCACTCTTATTAAAAGAGAAATATGTGAGGTCAATTATTTTGACTAATGAATGAAATCACTTTTAAGTTGAAAAATCTTGTTTTTTCCTGCACAATTTTTATTCTGACCTTTATTTCTTAGATTTTTCCTGTGATACTTAAAGTCGTAAAGTAGGTTGCCTACTAAAAATTCCTGAGGCACATTAATTACCACACAATGTTAGTCCTTGAGACACTTCTAGCTTATTGTTGCTCTTTGTTTTTTCCAGGGCTTTTTTTTTTTTAAGGAAAAGGAAAAAAGAAAACAAAATGTTGACCCATGAGAATACAATATGGGAGACAGTGGCAGACAGTGAAATGGGCCACTGCTAAGCCCAGCCGTCTTATATTTGAACATTTTTGGCAGGTCGCTGATCAGCAATCAGCCATGTTTGGAGAGTGCTGCTTCCACGTAGGAGACGTGAAACTAACCATGGGAACTGGGACATTTTTGGATATTAATACTGGAAATAGCCTTCAGCATACTATTGGAGGTAAACAGTTAGAATTTATCCTTTTTATTGATAAAATATCACTTCATATTTAACTTTTGTGACACTGTTTTCCCATTTTATACTAAGGGTACTCTCTAACATATTTTTCACCATTACTCTTAGAGACAGTTAATTTCCATTTCCCTTTTTTCTTTAAAAGCATAAAAAATGAGACATATTATTATAGAAAAACTCAGGTTTAGGTTATTTTGGTCAGTTTACCAAATATTTACCTGTAATACCTGTTATATTGTTTAAAACATCTTTCTAGGCCTCTAAATTTTCTCTTAAGTGTTAGCAGTTCTTCTTTGTGTGTGTGTGTGTGTGTGTGTGTGTTTGAGGGGGGGTGGTAATTCTCAACTAGTGATCCATGCATATTTAATGACAGTTGCCAAGAAATTGGTCTCCCTGATGGAAGACATCCTAGGATGTGTAAACCAAGAAATTTAGAATGCCAGTATACCCGTATGATGGGACATTGTACAGTCACATATAATGGTGTGGTTGTATATCTTATTGGTATAGAACACTGTCTATGAGACATTAAGGAGGGGATGAAGTCATTGCAGAACGGTCTATATAAATATTTCTTGCTTTTATTTTATAGCTTTATTGAGATATATAGCTCTTAATCTGGGCTATGGTCTCCTAATATGGTTACTAAGAGGCAGATTTTAAAATCTTTTTCTTATCTTCCATCCCCCCTCAAGCTCTTCCTTTTCCCCTAACTGGGAAAATGGAACCTAGAAAATTTCATCATGCGTTAGGTTATTTCTAATTAGGAACCTTCACAGATAAATAAAATAGCGTAGTTGGCTCTGTTTGTGTGTTTCTAGAGACATAGATATGCCTGTGGCTACTAAAAGCTAGTGTTTATTGTTCATATTAAATGCCAGGCACTGCACTAAGTTTTTTATGCATTAATTCAGTTTATTCTCACAAGAGCTCTCTGAGGCAGACCATTTTACAGTTGAGGAAACTGAGGCTAAGAGGTTAGAAACTTGTGATACCACTGACTTCAGAGCCACTTTGCTATTTTTTAAGATAATCAAATTGTTAACCAAATGTAGATGTCTCTGCAATGAATTATCTATTGATTACATTTGATTTATATCGTTTCTTTGTTTTTAAGGCTTTTATCCACTAATTGGGTGGAAGATTGGCCAAGAAGTTGTATGCTTAGCTGAAAGCAATGCAGGAGACACTGGTACTATCATCAAATGGGCTCAAGAATTAGGTAAGTTATCTTTCAAACAGATTTCACAGGCCAGCCTTAAAGAATTCAAGAGTGCCATAGGACTACCGATGAGTAGGGAATGAATAGATCATTCAAATGAGACATAAAAAGAACTATTCTAGAAGAAAATATAGGATACTATTTTTTTGACACTGGGATGGTAAAAGCCTAGGAATTAAGGCCAGATACCATAAAGAAAAAAAAAAAAACAATAAACTTAAGTATATAATTATTAGAATGTGTAAGGAGAGAAGTGTCATAAGCAAAGTTAAAGGACAAATTGGTAACAACAATTTGTAACATACGTCAGAAAAATTAAGATGACTAAAGAATAAACAAAGGACAGAAGTACAGCTATCATAAATCAAATGACTATTAAAAGTGCTCTTCGGGGCACCTGGCTACTTAGTTGGAAGAGCATGTGACTTTTGATCTCAGGGTCGTTAGTTCAAGCCCCATGTTGGGTGTAGAGATTACTAAAAAAAATAAATAAACTTAAAAAAAATGCTATTCAGGGGCACCTGGGTGGCTCAGTTGGTTAAGCAACTGCCTTCAGCTCAGGTCGTGATCCCAGGGTCCTGGGATCGAGTCCCACATCGGGCTCCCTGCTTGGCAGGAAGCCTGCTTCTCCCTCTCCCACTCCCTCTGCTTGTGTTCCCTCTCTCGCTGTGTCTCTCTCTCTCAAATAAATAAATAAAATCTTTAAAAAAAAAAATGCTATTCAAATTCAACAGTCAAAGAAATACACATCTAAGGGCACCAGGTGACTCAGTCAGTTAAGCATCTGCCTTCAGCTGAGGTCATGATCCCGGGGTCCTGGGATCAAACCTGCATCGGGCTCCCTGCTAAGTGGGCAGTCTGCTTCTCCCTCTGCCTCTGTCCCAGCTCTTGTGCCCTCTCACTCTCTCTCTCTCAAATAAAGTCTTTAAAAAAAAAAAAGAAATACACATCTAAAAAATGATGTCACCTGTCATTGGCAGAGATTAAGTAGTTTGATGATGTTCAACACTGATGGCAATGTAAAGAAAAAAACTATTCTTGTTTTCCTTTGTGATGAATATTAACTAGTATGGCCTTTCTGGAGAATAAGCTGGCAACATGTTTCAATTTACAGAGTGCAGACCCTTTTCTTTGTTTCTTAAGAAAACAAGGATGTATGTAGAGAAAGATGTGGACATGCATAAGTGTTTAATACAACAACTGGAAATAAGTTCCCGTTTAGTAGTAAAGCATTAAGTAAGTAAATGCCAGTATACCCGTACGATGGGACATTGTACAATCACATATAATGGTGTGGTTGTATATCTTATTGGTATAGAACACTGTCTATGAGACATTAAGGAGGGGATGAAGTCATTGCAGAACGGTCTATATAAATATTTCTTTTATTTTATAGCTTTATTGAGATATAATCCATATACCATATAATTCACCTACTTAGAGTGTAAAATTCAGTGTTCTTTAGTATTGTGTCCAGGCTATGCCACCATCACCACAATCTAATTTTATTTTATTTTATTTTATTTATTTGTTTATTTTTAAAAGATTTTATTTATTTATTTGAGAGAGAGAGAATGAGAGAGAGCACATGAGAGGGGGGAGGGGCAGAGGGAGAAGCAGACTCCCTGCCGAGCAGGGAGCCCGATGCGGGACTCGATCCCGGGACTCCAGGATCATGACCTGAGCCGAAGGCAGTCGCTTAACCAACTGAGCCACCCAGGTGCCCCACCACAATCTAATTTTAGAACATTCTTATTCCCCCTAAAAGATACCTCGATAGGCATTGGCATTCTTGTTCTACCCACCAGCCCTAAGCTACCATGGATCCACTTTCTGTCTTTATGGATTTGCCTATTCTGGACATTACATATGGATGGAATCAAACAGTCCATGGTGTCTCGTAGCTGCCTTCTTTCACTCAGCATAACGTTACAAGGGTCACCCATGTTGTGGCATGTGTCAGTGCTTCATTTCTTTTTATTGCTGAATAATATTCCATTATATGGATGCACCACAATTTATTCATTCATCAGATGATAGACATTTGGGTTGTTCCCACTTTTTGGCTGTTGTAAATAATGAACAGCCTGTATATTATGTAGTCATATTTCATGCAGAAGGTACGAAATGTTATATACCAAAGAATTAACAGTGTGTATCTCTGATGATTAAATTATGGAGCAGGCTGTACCTTTCTACTTTGCTAATTTGAACTAAGCTGAGTTGTTTAAAGACAACACCAATTCTATTGGCAGAAAACATAACACTCTAGGAGGAAAATGCCAATCCATCTCCTTTCTTCCTTTTTCTCTCTTTCTCCATGAGCCTGCACCTGCACTATAAGCATTAGATTATTTTTTTTTTAAAGATTTTATTTATTTATTTGTCAGAGACAGAGATAGCAAGAGCAGGAACACAAGCAGCGGGAGTGGGAGAGGGAGAGCAGCCTTCCCGCGGAGGAGGGAGCCCTATGTGGGACTCAATCCCAGGACCCTGGGATCATGACCCAAGCGGAAGGCAGGCCCTTAACGACTGAGCCACCCAGGTGCCTCCTAAGCATTAAATTATTAACAAAAAAAGTTTATTTCAAAGTTTTTTGTCACTTAAAAGTCTATTTATTTATTTATTTAAGAGAGAGAGAGACAGCATGCACACATGTGGGAAAGGGGCAAAGGGAGAGGGGGAAAGAGAGAATCTCAAGCAGACTCCCCACTGAGCTTGAAGCCAGACAGGGTGCTTGATCTCAGAACTCTGAGATCATGACCTGAACCAAAATCAAGAGTCACACGCCCAACCAACTGAACCACCCAGATGTCCTAAAAGTCTCTTCTTTAAATGTACCTCTTTTAATTTTTTTTGGACATCTATCTTGATTATCAGAAATAGAAAATTATATTTCTTCTCCTGTAGTTATACCTGCTCTTAATTTTACTCCTTCCCAGAAGATGCAAAGAAAAGGCAGAAAAATTTCACATTCATCAGTTAAAAAGAATTATTCTTTTTAAATAAAAAAAAAAGATTTTATTTATTTATTTAACATAGAGAGAAAGAGAGAGAGAGAGCACACAAGTAGGCAGAGTGGCAGGCAGAGGGGGAGGGAGAAGCAGGCTCCCCGCTGAGCAGGGAACCCAATGTGGGGCTCCATCCCAGGACCTTAGGATCATGACCTGAGCTGAAGGCAGCCACTTAACCGACTGAGCCACTCAGGCACCCCCCAAAAAATTATTCTTGAATCCCATGTGACATCATGTGCACGTTCTCCGTAGGAATCTTTGCTTTGCTGGATTGAGGCTCATTCGCTGTGATTCTCAAATGATGAAAACTCTTTTCTGGGAGATGGGGCTAAATGGTCTTACCTAAAAAGGTGATGTGATTTCTGGTAGAGGCACAAGCTCTCCTAAAGGCCGGTCCCAAGACAATGGGACTGTTGTTCTAACTGGTGGGAGAGAGAATTCAGAGTTGAATTATTTACTTTAAAATTTTAGTCATTGATAAAGCTAAACCTTCTTGTATGTATCTGTCTGAAATTCACACAAAAAGTTGACATTTATTTGAATATATTTCTTTTTCTGAGAATTCACTTTAATGGGTATACTGAAAAAAATTAATTATGTTCAGGAGAAACACAGTGTGTAAGAGCCTAAGTAGTCCTGGCATTCTCTTGAATGTGTAAGCTGAACCTTTATATCTTTGTGCAGCATCCTGAGCTTCTCCAATCTGAATGATGGCTTCCTTCCACTTGGTTAGTGGATTGAACACCTCAGGCTCAGGTGTAAAAGCTGTTTTAAACAAGTTTCATCTTGATTTTTGGATTTATTTTCTAAATCTTTTTCATACAGGCCAGTTCTTCCTTTTTTTCCCCCTTAGCCTCCTGTGTTAACTAGCACATTTGGGTTCCTACATGATCATCTCTTTTCTTTTTAATTTGGTCCGTTTCTGCTCCCCTTCACTCTTTGTTCTATTTTGCTGTCTTAATCTTATAAATATTTTTATGTCTTCCAGCTTGTACTAAGTTAACAAGTAACAGTGCTCACAATATACCTAGAACTGGACATGCTAAGGGGACACAAGTGAATAATACAGACACCCACTGCCCTCACGGCAGTTACAGTCTAGCAGGAAAGACATGGGTTTGGTTTTTTTTCTTTCTTTTGTTCTCCCCTCCCCCCCCCTTTTAAGATTTTATTTATTTATTTGAGAGAGAGACAGATATAGTGAGAGAAAGCACAAGCTGGGGGCGGGGAGAAGGAGAAGCAGGCCCCCTGCCGAGCAGAGAGCCCAACACGGGGCTCGATCCCAGGACCCTGAGATCATGACCTGAGCCGAAGGCAGACGCTTAACCAAGTGAGCCACCCAGGCATCCCAGGAAAGACATCTTTTAAATGAGAAACTGAAATAAATATATTAGTGTTAAGTCCCAGGAAGAAGTAGTTCTTCTACTTCTAGAAGTAGAAGAACTTCAATGATCCCTTTTTAAAGGGAGAGCTTTTTCTAGTCTGGAGAATTAGGAGGTTTCTTTCAAGAATGATGTTAGCTGTTCCCTGAAGGGATAATATGAGTGGTTGCATAGGGACGCCTGGGTGGCTCAGTCAGTTAAATGTCGGACTCTTGATTTCGACTCGGGTTCTGATCCCAGGGTTATGGTATCAAGCCCCATGTTGGGCTCTGTCTGCTGGAGATGCTCTCTCTCTCCCTCTCTCACTCTGCCCCTCCCCCTGCTTGCTCTCTCTCAAATAAATAAAGGTTAAAAAAAAAAAGAGTGATTGTGTAGGTGAGAGAGGCAGTTTAAGTCAGGGGGCAGTCCAAGCAGGGAGAACTGGTGAGGGAGGCCCTGAGCAGGGAGAAGCAAGACCTATTTAAGGGACTAAAAGAACACCCTGTTTCATCTCTGCAGTTGAAGCAGTTGCCATCTCTGCTGTCCTCCAGTAACACAGGTCAGGGGACATTTTTTCCCTAGCAGTATCACTTCTAATTGCTACATGTCACATCTGCTTGCTCCA